CCAGCTATTTTTTGGTTGTATTCGTCATTGTTGTTTGACAGTTCTGGGCTGGGTTCGAACCCATTAGCTCCGGTGTACGGGGCTGGCACCCTAGTCACTGAGCTATAGGTGCCAAGCCAAAATAGCTAACATTTATGAAGAGCTTTGTCTATCACACACCTTTTTTCCCAATATCACATATATTCCCTTGTTGAATTCTTTACAAAACTATATCACAAGATAATCATTATACAAAAAGAACAGTGTAGGCCAACTTGTCCAGGGTCCACATGCCTGGGAAGTCATAGAGATTTGGGATGTGCTCTCAGCCGCACTGGCTGTAGATCATGAGATTGAATGCTGCAACAATGTATGTAGTTTGTCTCTTGAATGTACAAAGTATCCACCATACAGCTGTCCCACATAGATCACCATAACCTTGTTAGTTTGACAAACATTGATGGAAAGTGATAGCATCCATGGTTCAAGTTTGAGAGAGAGCAAGAAAGGGAGAGGAAGACAGAGGGAGACAATGACAAGGGCATTAACAAACACAACTGGGATCAATTGCTAAATGTTACTGGGGCAACTGGCAAGATTCATTAAAACCTAAACATGTATAGGCAAAAATGCAGTATTTAGAAACGAGAAGGTTGTTTCTAAGTAGACTCAATGACTACACAAAGCAGAAGGACAGGACTTCTTTTTCAGTATTGCACCTGTAGGGTAGCTCAGGAAAATCAGTGTGTCATTGTCAGGATAGAGACAGAATGAGGGATCAATCTGTAAGGTGACCTACAATACATCCCTCAGACCTCCAGGACAACCTCCCACCTGTCCTCTTCACCTGCTCAGTGCTGCCTCCTCCTAGTGTCATTTGACATAAGATTAAGGTTGCATGTGTTGGATGTTGCAGGAGGCGCTGACATTCAAAGACGTGGCTGTTGTCTTCACCAAGGAAGAGCTGAGGTTGCTTGACTCTGTGGAGAGGAAGCTGTACCGAGATGTGATGAGAGAGAACTTCCGGAACCTTCTCTTAGTGGGTAAGGACAGGTACCCTCTATAATGGAATGTCAAGTCCCAGGAGTGACTTGTATCCTAGGGTGTTCAAGTTAGAGTACGCAGTGAGAATCTAAATTTTTGGTAAATTTTACTTAGATTTTTGCCTGGAATGTGTTGCGATTAAGCATGTGACTTTGAATGTTCACAGGGCATCAATCATTCAACCAAGATACATTCTACTCCCTCAGGGAAGAACAACTTTGGATGACAAAGAGAGCAACCCATAGAGAAGGGAATTCAGGTACAAACCAAGCAACTGTGCGTCTTTTTATGTGTCTCTCCCATCTGTTTACTTTTACCCATGTCCATTTTTATTGCCCTAGTCTAAATTGCCAAACCTCTTTCCTGAATTATCACAACTGCCTTCTGGCTGGTTGCTCTGCTCTCTACCTTCCCACCTGGTATCTTTTTTCCTCATAGCAGCCAAATGATCCTTAGGAAGTGTAAGTCAAAGTGCCATTCCTGGCTCAAAGCCTTTATGGCTGCCTACTTATATTAAACATTATAGTATTGAGAGGACAGGTGGGAGGTTGTCCTGGATGTTTGAGAGATGTATTGTAGGTCCACTTGAGCACGGTGGCTCATGCCTATAATCCTAGCACTCTGGGAGGCCAAGGAAGGTTTGATTGCTTGAGTTCAGGTGTTTGGGACCAGTCTGAGCAAGAGTGGGACCCCATCTCTAAAAACAGCTGAGCTGAGCATTGTGGCAGGTGCTTATAGTCTCATCTACTTGGGAGGCTGAGGCAAGAGGATCACTTGAGCCCAAGAGTTTGAGGTTGCTGTAAGCTATGA